AATTTTGAAAAATGTGCTAGCCTATGATGTGATGAGGGATAGAGCTTGTCATTAACTTTTGAAAGTACAGGTTAGAAACACTACTACATCTGCACTACAATTAACCAAGGTAAGTTAAATCAAACATGCTCCTAATTTTCATCAACTCCCAACACACCCTATTCTGAGACTCGATGCTAAACTAGTCACTCACAAACATAAGCAAGCTTAAATATTGTTCACATAAACATAGACAACTGCCCATAAAAACTGTACTTCATGAATTTATTCACTTTAACGCATATAATAATCGATTACTTCACTTGATTTACTGATACAGGATGAACACCAACAATAACCGCATAGTTAAACAACTCTATTCGAATTCTCTCTCTCGCCTCACGCTCACTTTCAACATGTCCCCAAAATTCTCACTTCCCCACTCAAGCATTCACTCACTTTACAGTTTTTGTGGGCGCTATCTATTTGAGAGAGAAAATACGAATGTTTTTGATCGTTGCTTTAAACAAGTATAAATGAAACTAAAAAGAAAACAATAAAAGCTCGAAAACGAGTGCAACAAAATGATATTGATGAACTGATACGTGCGGAAAAGGTATCCACTAGCGGATAATTCGATACCATGGTTGTTCGTGTGCTGGTCCGTTACGGCTTGATCGTGGAGTGCCTTGGAGAGAGGGCGGTGGAACCCAACCATCGTATCCTGGACGGCCGTATACACCAGGTGGAGGACTATATCCGAACACATCCTTAAAAGTCGTTGAAATATTTACTTTCCCAGTTATTTATATTAGGGGATCAGACAGCAAAAAAATGACAAATTAGGATTAAGGACAATGAAAGAAATAAACAAAAAAAATCTTTGCAACATTTTCAAGCTGATCAAGGTACAAATGAAACGTATTATGATATTAAGAGATAGAAATAAAGTCTCATACTAACCCTTCCAGGGAACGGGCTATGATTTGGTGGCATTCCAGGTGCTCCACCAAATCCTGCTCCTCCCTTTCCGTATCCATATGGAAAACCAAAATCATTGAAGTATCCGCTGGCGCTTTGATGTGGGTCCTCACGTGGAACAGCCAACGTCACACTCACCGAAGTGCCATCTATCACAAAGTTATTCGCTCTGGAAAGCATATTATAAATGTTCAAATCCTACTAATTCCCAGAAATAGAAGCATACTTGCACAACCGATCAGCGACTTCAGAATGTGTGAACGTTATGAATGCAAAACCACGAAATGGACGAGGTATGAACACATCTGTCACCTGGAATTGATAAATCACCCATTTGTAGCTATAGAAAACAACTACACAAATACCGAAGCCGATTCGACAATCTGTTTAGCTTCTTTATCGAAAAAATCCCGTAGTGTTTGCTCCTCAATCTTTTCCGACAGTCTGCCAACAAACACCTTGTTCACTAATGTCTTCGGTGGTACAACAGTTCGACTCCCACCGGGAGTGTTTCCATGAGCGTCGTGCTGGAAGAAGAAATGATTGAGAGGGATTGTATTTGATGTCTAGAAAAACACACCCTTTGATCGGGAATTCGCACATCGCATCGACGACCATCAAGCATGTGATTGGCTGTCGCAAGCACCTTATCCTGCTCTTCTACTGTACTCATTTGCACAAATCCAAAACCTTTTGATGAGCCTTCTGGTGTTCGTTTGATCTGAATAAACATATGTTTGATTTGAGCCATAAGACTGCCCTCAACACCCTTATGACATGCAATTAGAACTAAAGTTGCTGGCACACACATGACTCAGCTGTACAAGCCACACGCAATCCTATCTAACTATCATGCTATCAGACCAGTCCACCTATCATGTTCTGTAAGTCACATATAAGCTGACATTTAAAAGGCATGATTACGCACCTAACTAGATGGTCGAATGCTAAGCCTCGCTACCGACTGCAAAGTATCCCCCACCTTCCCAGTAAACAAACATGCTTGGAATCCTCAAGAAATAAAAACTATTTCTTGTGACTAATTTTAATTCAATTACTTCTCAGCGTTGATATAGGGGAACAATGTAAGACATGGTACCCTCGATTCTTAACAAGGACAATGATGCTGCGCCTGGCAAGGCGCGTCCGTGGACGTTTTCAAGTTGCGTTGTGTAACGGCTACCTGCAGACTACAATTAAACAAGTTAACTGCTGCTGTGGCGCTAGTTGCTCCCTCTTGTTATTATTAATAATCATTGTAGGTAGCGCGCCAAAGTTGTCTCCATACTTCATAAATATCGGCCGATTTCAATGTCCAATCCATGGCCAAAGGGCATACCGGACTCCAGCAATAATATTTGTGCGACGCCAAAGCGACAGCATCGCAATCGGCTGATCTTATTGCGCTTATACAAGTGTTAATCACCATACTTCATAAGATCGGCCAATATTCTTGAAGTATGGAGATACCTAAAAACAGCAAGCGCGCCCGCACGTTTGAGCTATTGCGAACAACAGTCAGCCCCTTAGAATGAACTAGTTCTCACAAGAATCTGTTATTTCTACAAACTTATCCTCTAAGGAACTTCACTTCAAAAGTTTTTCACATTTCGCAAATGCCATGACTACCAATAAAGACTATTTGTACTTATTACCTATAATCGCCATTTCCTTTGTTCAAACACATATTTGCAAGCTTTTTTAAGTTCATATGGTACACAGATAGTCGACTACAGCTTAGATTATAATAGATGTCAATACTTTACAGAACAGATAGGTGCAACTCTATCCTTTCATTCAGTTTGTAATTGAACCTTTTCTGTATGAAAATTTTCTAATGAGTTATTTCACGTGTCGATATTAACACCACATGAACCCGTACAACTGTTTCGAAGCACAGTCAGAATAAAAAAGAAAGTCTTACCGAAGAAAACCACAATATGTCAGAACTCACATTCATTGTTTCACACTCACCTCAGCAAACACGACTGTACCAAAAGCTTCAAAGTAGGACTTGAATCCTTCGTCTGTTGTCTTGTAATTCACGCCGAGTACGATGAGGTCAACGGGTCGACGTGGAATCGGTGGTTCAGCTACCGCAGCCTCGCGAGAGTCAGCGGCACGTTTACGACCGATTCGACCCTCACCGTCACTGTCGGACTCTCCATCACTTGTGCCAATCTTCCGACGCTTCACACTTACATCCGAGCCTAGACACACCACCTTTCCTCACCGCTCGCACTCGTTTACAGAGAAAAATATTTGCTAAACGCATTTTAAATCTTTTAATGTACTTTCTTGCCAAACACCTTATCTCGGCTTACACTAGTCTCAAGCTCTTAAAAGAACTTGCAGACTCACGCGTACTTCAAACTCTTACGAGTAGTATTGCAACCAAATGTGTACGACCTCTACATAAAAAGATCATTAGCAATGTGCCATACATCTCGCGTTCTCAAAAGCTGTTGCTAAAGTAGCATTTAATAGAACAATTGACGTAGCAGAGCCAAAATGAACCAGTAGATCGCTATTTACTCGAGATGCACAATTACACAACTAACTCAGAATTGCTGGTCACGTCATGGCGCTTATCACAAAGCCAGCTTTCACGATTTCCTGCGATATCTGC